ATGCTATTCTAAATCTCCTTGTGGATGGATTAATTAGCCCCCTACCAGCCATCCACCCTTCTCAGAGCATCAAGCTCCTGTGGCATCCTTGGAGCTGTCACCACGCATGTCACAGCACCAAGGAACAGCAACCCAAACCAGGTGTATAATTTCTGTCCTGAACCTGTACAGCCATGGTTTTGTGGGATGCAAGATGATCAATGCTATTCTAAATCTCCTTGTGGATGGATTAATTAGCGTAATGACATATTTCACGCTGCTGAACCTGTTAGAGCAGCAAGGAAATTACCATATATTGCCTGAGGGAACCTGTAAAATACACAGGAATAACAAGCAAACAGGGAGCTACCACTGCCCTTTTGTCCACTGTCACATACTGAGAGAAGCTTTACAACACACACAAATAATTGCTCACTTTGAGCACAAACATGCAGGCAGAATGTACCCCAGAGAGTCCAAACCTGAACAAAGACATAGCTAGAAAACAGGTAACATTTCCCACTTCTGCCAAGCATCCATTAATGCTTTGCCTTTTCAAATGCAGTTACTGGAAGCTGTTTGTTGCATTGCTGCTGTTTCTTGGAAGCATCTCCTGTGCCAGCACACAACATGTGGGTCTCCACCCTTCCCATCCTACACACAGGACTGTCCTCCCCAGTCATGGCTTCACCCAAAGAAGCCTGAAGGATCCAGTTCCTCACCTGGAGACCCCACCAGACCAGTCCCACACCCAGCTACAAGAACATGCACTTGGTCCACAATGATTTAGGCTTGAAACACAGTAGAAATTCCCAGATTTGATTCTATTACTCAGTAATAGGCTGAAGAGATCTAAGCTGGACAACACAAAGCATCCTCCTGCCTGGGGCTGAGCACTCCTGAGCACACCACTCAGGAGATAATCTTTAAAAACCTGGAATGGGGGAAATGAATCAAGAGCAGGACCGTGGCTCATTCCTATCCATTTGTTGGACAAATTTGTTACAGAGTGGCTGGTTATGTGGAAGGTATTCTTCTGTTGTGTTTCAAAACATGGTAGATGCTTTTCATGGTATCAGCCACAAAACCTCAACAAAAATCCTTGGCTTTTGTTCCCAAGACCTAAACAACCTCATTTCAATGCCTTCATTCTGTTGCTATTGTTAAAAGGCTCATTCCTATCCATTTGTTGGACAAATTTGTTACAGAGTGGCTGGTTATGTGGAAGGTATTCTTCTGTTGTGTTTCAAAACATGGTAGATGCTTTTCATGGTATCAGCCACAAAACCTCAACAAAAATCCTTGGCTTTTGTTCCCAAGACCTAAACAACCTCATTTCAATGCCTTCATTCTGTTGCTATTGTTAAAAAAATATATAAAAAAAAAAAAAAAAAAAAAAATCACTTGTGCACCAGACAATCCAGGCACACATTAGATGTACACTACTGTCCAGTTCACATAATACACATAAAAACTACAAAACCACATCTTCCTCCTCAAAAAAATCCCCAACCCCCCCAAAAACCCTCAAACTCCCACACTTTGGAAAGAAAGAGGCCTTGACATAGCATTTGTATCCCTCACATCTATTTCTCATCTCTTCCTTGCTCAGTCCAACAACTACAACTTAACATAGTAACACATTCTTAAGGGTTAAATTCATTCAAAGCCAAACACCTTGTGTTTTTGAATCACATTTAACCCCTTCTTGGTTTTGATTACATCATTAAAAACAACTCAGCATAGGATTATCAGTGTTGGCCATAAATAAAGGCAATACATTGATTTTTATTACCTTAGTTTTACACCAAGTCTCTCTAAAAGCAGAAAACTTGTTTTCAACATGTGATCAAGCACATAAAACCCAGAAGTCATAAAGCTCAGCTTTTTTTTCTTCTGTGTGACACCAATTATTCAGCTTTGTTTCCTCCCAGGGAAGTATTATGAAACGTATTGGATACCAACAACACAGAAAGCAGAGGTTTCTCTAAAGACTGTTGTAACTATTTTGCTCTCAGAAAGATTTGTTGCTGTGCTTCCAATTGGTTCCAGGCTTATTTCAGGAAAATTAGGTTAGACAGAAATGTGTATTTAATTTCAGAGATTCAGAGACCAGCAGGAGTTCCCTGTCTGTCCAAAGTATCTCAGAATGATCTGACTCCAGGCTGGTTTAGCTTTGGAAAGAAAACTGACCCCTTATCTGGCAACAAGTAGAACTCACCTCTCCATTCACATCAGCCACATAGAAAAATCTCAGGTGTAACTTTCAAACAGGTACTGAGGTTACAGGTGAGGACATGCACAGAAACATCATTTGGCTTTTGCCCTACAGAACAGATCATTCCCATCTCTCTTCCTCACAGGACAACCAAAGGGATGGATCAGCTCCTCAGAGCCTTTCCAGCTCTGTCTGTGGGGCTTCCATAAAGAACCAGTTACTCTCTCTAGCAATATTTCAGCACTTCTCCCAAGTTATGAAGTGTCTGTGGCACAGTTCATGATGAGACCATCATAATCACAGAGGAGGCTGAAATGCCCCAAGGATCCACACTGCAGACAATTCTGCAGTGGCACAGTAGTTGCAGAAGTTCAGCACCTTGCCCAGGCAGTTGCCATAAATGTGACAAAGTGAAACATAACCCCAATTTGCAGGCTATTACTTCCCATGGCTGATTTGACTTGATACACACACGAATCACATAAAAACGCAAGATAGCCTCAGAAGGATTTACATAAGGAGCTGATTATAACAGCAAACAGCTATTTGGACAGTAATATATTTGCTCTTCGAGAGGAAGCAAGAATTATCTTTTGTCCCACAGATAACTCTAATTCTCACCTCTGTGTGCATCTTAATTGCCATTCAGATCTGTGAGAGTCTGTGTTCACGTTACAGAAAGAACAAACGCACAAGTTCAGCTGTGGAGAAAGAGGACTGCTATTCTCAAGGCATCACAAGGATGGCTGCCAGTGTACATTTGGGTCAGTGACATCCTAGGCTGGATTTTGGCTCTGCATTAAGCAGTTCTACTAATATTACAGGTTTCCCAGAGAGTCTGTGGACTCCCCATCCCTGGAAGTGCTCAAGGCCAGGTTGGATGGAGCTCTGAGCAACCTGGTCCAGTGGAAGTTGTCCCTGCCCATGGCAGGGGGGTTGGAACTAGATGAACTTTAAGGTCAACTTCAGCCCAAACCATCTAACAATTCTATGATTCTACTTAATTACACCATTGTTTACTCTATCCAAGAGTTTGTTCTGCACACACAGACATTTACATTATTAAACATACTATGTCAGTATCAAAACAAAACAGACACTTCAGAGGCACAAGCCAATCTACATATGTCAGCACAGCAGCTCTGCTTGTGTGCAGAGTTCTAAAATTATTTCTCCTCTCTTTCAAGCTGAGTTCTAGTCAACAGGAAAAAAACCAAAACCCACCATGTGTTTTGGTGGTTTCAATTTGGATTTGTAAACAATAGTCATCTGTGACTACACTAAAACATGCACAGAATGTGAAACTCAGCCCAGGGTGTCCATCAAGTTCTAACAATTTTGGATGATGCTCTGGAAAGAGACAACATCTTGGGGTGAGTATTTTGTAACTTACAACCTCACCTGCCTATTTCTCTCCATTTTAAGAGAATAACCATCTTGTCTACCCTTCAATTCAGATAATTTTCTCCAGATGATAGAACTTAAACCCTGGTGCAAAACAGGCCCTGGAGAACTTCTGTTCCCCACCAATTACACACAGGTTAAACAAAGTGGGTCCAGCACAGTATTGTGTAGGAACACTACACAGGGCCTAACTGCTTTACAACAAGTACATACACTAAAAGTATATTTTCTGATCAAAATAATCAGAAGTTTAGAAGATACAGTTATTCAGTGTGTTTCCTAGATAGACTGTGGATGTTTTTTTCAGCAGCACTTGCTAATAGCTAACTCAAGCATTCTTCCACAGCACAACGTATTTGTTGTGCATGTTTTAATTCACAACTCAGAGTATCCTCCTGCTGACAGCAGCATCTTTTGACATTTCTGAACAGACTTTAGTGGAATAACTGTATTTCCCATGGCATCTCCTGTCTTGTATCCTACTTGTCACAACCTGCCAATCCGTATTGGTGGGGTGGGGAATGCTGCTCTCCAGGGAGTGCCCATTTCATACTCTCAGCTGTGCTGTGACCTTTTCCATTAATAGATGTCACAAGAAGGGCAGGCCTTGATTGCCAAGCCACAACAGCAGGCTGGTTAATCGCCCACAGACAGGAGTCAGCTGAAGCTCTGACATGAATATCCAAACACATCTTGTCTAGACTATATTTGAGACGGGAAGGTTGGAATTAGATGACCTTTAAGGTCCCTTCCAACCCAAATCACTCTATGACATACTCAGTTTGGGGTTTTTCCAAGCAAAAAACCTCCAGGCCACCTATCAAACACTATGGCAACAATCAATACAAACCTGAAGGAGTGAAACGTTTAAATTTGAACTCAATATAATACAACATTTCTTCAGCAAGGGCAAAACCAAGCTGAACCTCTTCCTTCAGTACTGACAATAACAATGCAAATCAGTAGTGTGGAGTGGGAAGAGGCTGGCAGCACCTGAAGAGGAATGAGTAGAACAATCCTCTTGAATATGGCCTGATTTTGCACAGTTTCATGCAAAAAAAACCAAAACAAAACAAACAAACTTGAACTTCAAGAAAGGAAAATATTGTGGAAAAAAACCAAAACCCTAGGACAATATTAATTTAAAATAGTAGGAAAACTCAGCATAGTAATAACCAGTGTAGCCCAAGCTCCCTCTTCTGGTATTTTGGAGTAAATATACTGGATTAGGCAAGTCTGGATAGTTTACATTCAGGTTCAAAACCTAGCAGCAAGATTCATATAACTTACTGAAAACACCTATTAAAGTTATTCAGCTTCTTTCAAACTAGTAGCATTTTCCTAAGCAATGGATGTACAGATATAGAAATGCATTGTAATGTATGAAATAACACAATACCTCTTTTTTTCCCTTGTGAAATTTTCAGTGTCTTGAGCAGGCAGTTCTACACCATCACCAGGGGCTGCAGCCAAAGGTACATCCTCAGAAACGACGTTATCAACTTCTTTGCAGCTATCAGGCTTGGAAGTGCTGCAAAATAATTATTAAAAATAAGCTGACAAATTTCAGAAGTGCCCATGAAGCTTTAGTGAAGTCTCTTCAAGAGGGGAAATTTGGCTGGATATATAAGGAGCTCTAAGGAGCACATGATCCCCTCTCCAATTCCATCTCTGTCCCACCTCACACAAATTACTTCTTCCTACAAACCTTATTTCACTTATTTTCTCAGATGACCACCTAATCAATAATACTGCAAAGCTCTGACAGCTCTTATAGACCATAACATTAACTGCCAGAGGAATGTAACTGTATATGAAATTAGTAAAACAGATAAACCACTTTGCAGTTTTCACACAGCCCTTTCTCCCCAGTGTACAACGTAAACATTCCATTAAGTGACTTGTCTTTCAGCAAAATAACTAAAATCTGGGACTAAAGAATTCTCTTACTTTCAAAGCTTTCTCTATGCTCTAAAACTAAACACACAGTAATCCCGGAACTCATTACCTGAATGTTAAGATTACAGGACTGTAATGCTGCTGTAGCTGTTAATTCCTACAAGACCCTCTGCTCAGCAAAACCCCACAAAGACCCGTACCCACAGGCAGGACTGTAACCACACTACTTCCCCTGCCCCTGGCCACACTCATTAAACCACTGACAGAAATGGAACTAAATAACCCATGACTTCATGTCTCAAAAGCAGAAGCAGTGTAGGGTCTTGTCACACCACGCTGTCCCTTCCAGGGCACCTCTGACATTCCAGAGGGACACAGGTGTCCTGGGGTGGCAACCACACACAGCAGCCTCCCCTCCTGCCAACGTCTGCTCCCAGAGACACAGACACAAATGTTTATGGAAATGCTGATGGAATCAGACCTTGGTTGGGAAGTTTCTTTTAGGTTTCCTGAACTAAATATAAACAACCTTAGCCATTCCTTTTACAAATTTCTCTGCCTTTCCCCTAATAATTACACTGGAATTGCAGAAGGCAGAATGAAGTGTGTTAGTCATCAAGAGTATAGTAAGGTTCAAGGACAGGCTGTTCCTTTCTTTAGAACCATGTATGCAAACTGGGGACAAGCCTAAGCCACATCCCTACCTTTAGTGACAATGCACAGGAGCATGAGAACAGCTATTTCCCAAAGTGCTTATCCACTGAGTTAATAAAATCAAGAAAGCTCTTTCTGAGAGTAGTTTAGCTTGATTAGCTTATATCCATGAACCTGTTCTGTGCCATATGGGATAACTACCCAGTTATTTCTTCCAAGGAATTATCTCTGCTTTATGTGCTTACTCCTTCCTTCCTTCCTTCCTTCCTCCCTTTCTCCAGTTTGTCCAAACTTGCCTGACACTGACATAGACATCCTAAACTTTCAGTCACATCCAGTTAATACAAATAAATAATTAATTATTAAAAAGCAATCTGCTTCCTTTTGCATGCAAAGGCCTTTGTCCTTTGCTAAAAATGTCTCAGTCCTAATATAGTAACAGCATCCCATCTACACAAAGGCAATGTGACTATATAGGGGCACACGGAGATCAGCAAAAGTAAGATTTTAAAGCAAAAAAAGTAAACGGCTAAAAATAAGCGAATGCTGAACATCTGTTTGGAGAGGAAACAAAGAATTGCAAAACCCAAACAATTCACAAGAGGGCTCAGCCAAGCAAGAATACCAAAGGCACATGAAATGATGGCCCTGGTGTTAAGCACACACAAAACCTTCCCAGTTAACTGCTTACAGTAGCACCTGTTCCCTTCTCACCCACACTCTTCACTCAGGCCCCAGTGACCTCCTGCAGCCCTTCAGCTTCTCCTTTTAAGTCTTCACACATCAAATGAAACAATTTTCAGAGATATATCTTGCCTAACATCATCCCTACTGCTAAGCAAAACTTGCTACCAAAACACAGACATTTTTAGAGGAGCTCTGCTCCCTGGCCCTCAAAAAGCACAGGGCTTATTTTGATGTGGTTTACAGTACCTGTATGTGTTGCAATCCACAAGTAATGTGAATGCCCCTTCACCTTTCCAAGCTCCATTTTCACCATCAAACATTGAAATCCCAAAGACCACTCCTGACAAGCCTCAGCTGCCTTGCTTGAAAGAGTGGACTTATAAAGGCACACAGATGAGATGCAGCTGGTACTTGTTTTTCCTCTGACATCTCTCACTACCACGAGTACCAGGAGGTATCCACTTGTGCCCCATAGCACAGGGTACCACAGGCTGCCTCCACTTCTCCACTGCCATCACTCTGAGAGATTCACAGCACCAAGTGTTGAGTGAGCCCATGAGAAGCAAGTTGTGAGCCTAATTACACCAATCTGGGGCTAATACTGCCACATCATCATTTTGGCGCATGGTTTGCAAGTAGAACTGCAGCAGCATAGAGCTACTGGTTATTGCCCATCAGCAGATGGGCATTACCTGCAGGAAATGCTGTCCACTGGGGCACAGTTAGCTCTTAAGGGACCAGCAGAAGCAGAGCAGCCCAGAAATGGCACAGACTGCACAAACTGAGGCAGAGTAGCACAGAATAGCACCCCTGTCCAAAACACAGACACTGTGTCCACTCTCCAGCCTAAGACTGCATCAACTCAGGTACATGTATCAACTCATGGTACTTGTATCAGCTCAGACATGAACTGGCTGCCCTAAAACCTCTGCCTCTCCACAGATGTTATTAAAAGAAGCTTTGTCATTAAACTTAGTTCCCAACTAATATTCTAAAGGTTGCAGGGAACACAAAGACACTGCTCAGAAATGTTTCACACCTCTAGCCACGGAGCCAGCTAAGCTGTGGTCTTGTACAGCCAGGGCACTTCTTTGCCTTCTCTGCCTTTCCAATCCAAACACTCCTCCTGTAACACAGAAGTCCTGTTGCAGAGCTCTGCACCTGCAGTGTAAAGAGAAAGCTGTGTCTAGCCAAGATTTCTCCTAGTGCAACTTGTACTGGCAAATCAGAGTGAACTTGGCCTTTCATTGCTAAACAAAAACGCTTGGCAGAATAGCCAGTGAACTTTTTACCTAATTCTTTTCAGGGCAATTTTTTGCAGATCCAGTAAATAAAATCTTACTGAGCAGACGATATGATGTTGTTCCTGATCAATATGTCATCAGCAGGAGAGAGGCAGATAGTCATCCTCAAAAAGCAAAACAAAGATACAGTTTCTTGACTGGACAGATGGAGGGACAACCTGATCTCTCACTATGCTGTGCCATCTGGAAGCCATTTAGCCCAAACTGGCCCCCACCTTACACACACCATTATTTTTCCCTGTCAAAGAACACACCATCTGCATTACGTGATGCCCCTGATAGGGAAATACATGGAAACAAAAGGAAATGACTAGCAAATAACTAAAATATTGAGGGAAAACACTTTATAATCATACTTTACTGCAGACAGACTGGAATAGCATCGTATCATTCAGCAGCCCTGGTAAACATTTCAAAAGCCTAGTGCAGAGACACCCAGTAGGCATCACATGTGTGTGCATTAGGGAATTTGATCCAGTCATATTGAAAAGCAGTGGTGCAGTGTGTCTACATAAAATGCCAAAAAAGCAGGAGCTTTAATATGATCATCTGAGAGAGGCAATAACCTTCTCCATGACACAGGTATAATAAAGCATATATTATAAAAATAAGGCCATGGTATGAAACAACAAACACCACTGAAGCTCTTCCCTTGGACAAGAAAAGCCCAGTCCTGCTATTTCTGATCCTTGTTGTGAGCATAATCTCATGGGTTTTAAGAGTACTACTTTCATTTGCTACTGACACTGTGTTGTTACCAGTTCAGGTCTGACCAAACCACAGGGAAGTCAGCAGAGTTGTTACTGCAGGAAGAGAGTTGTACTGTAACTGTTCAGAATGGAGCTAAAGCAGAGGTCCAGCTGCACTGATTTAACCCCTCTTGTGCCAACCAGCTGCACCTGGGGGTGGGCACACGTGGCAACTACTGAATTTCTACTGCTGGGACACCAGGAAACAGCTCTTCAAGGCTCACAGAGAAGTTGGCAAGGGCCAACAACCTGGACAGGAAAGACAGGTGCAAGGAGAACAGGTAGGCTTTTGTATCTAAAGCTGAACAATGGTGCAAAATAAAGGAGTAAGGAAAACAAACACTGTCAGGAATTAACTTGTGCAGCATTAAAAGAAATAAACAAAATAATTAAAATCAACATAGAAGAACTACCCGCAGACAGCTTCACTCCAGCTGGCCACAGTGTATTTCTCTCTCACTTTCCTCTTTTTCAGGAACTGGAAAACTACATACATCCATGCTGAATATCCCTGGTTTGCAACATCTTAGCCCTGAACAAATCCTTGCAGCTTCCTCAAGGTCAGGATATGGAAACAAGAGCCAGATCCTGCAGCTGCTGCACAGTCTGTGTGCCCTCACCCCTACTGGGCTCAGCCACCCTGCATGGGGTAAGCACAGCTCAGCACCAGCACTCACAGCCTCTGCAACTGGCATGGAGCAAGGAACCCTGAGAGCAACTTTTGGACACTAACAGTTAACCATTTTAAAGACAGGAGTTATGAAGTAGATCAGAATAAAAGGTATCATATGATTAACTCAAAATTCCAGACTGAGAGGAGAATGTGAACAGTGTGAATCCAGGAGGTTTGCAAGAAGCAGTGAGTTACAGCAGTCCAAGATTGCTCTCCCTAACTGTTCCCTAAGGTAACATTTAATGATAGACAGTTTGTGTGCCTTTTCCCCTGCAAATAGCAAACTATCACCCCGAGGGCACAGAATCTTCTATTTCAGACTGTAGACCAGAGACCATATATAAATCTTCCTGGCACTTTTGGCATTAGTCTTTTTTTATGACTCTGCATTCAGAAAGTAGCTCACAGCTCCACCTCAATTACTGCTCACTCTTTTCTAACTGCCTTGCTACGATGGCCAACAATCCATTAGCAGGAAAAAAAAACCAGAATCCACAAAACCCCATCAGTAACCCAATTACATTTGTTAAAAACAAAGAAACACAACTCTTTGAGTAAAAAACTTACAAGAACTGGAAGAAATCCACATCATTAGCTTCCCACTGTAAGCTTCTCTAGATCATCTTACTCCAACTGTAGGAAAAAGTTTGTTTCTCACAGACTCACTCAGCCAGCATTAGTGACTAACCAGCTTAGGGACTGGTGGCAGACCAGTATGGGCTAAACAGCAAAGTCACCCAGCTTTTAAGGTGGATTGAGCAAACCACACAATGTCCCTTCTGCCTTTGATGGCATGTTATTGTGACTTTGGCTAACAAATTTAATGCTAGCTTAAATATACTGTGCATGTTTACACTCCACTGAACTCACAATGATTGAAGGGCACACACACCCTACAAGGCTTCCTCTATTGTTGGAAGTTAAGACAAATAAATTATGCCCAAAGATCCCGACAACCCCACTGCCACCAGCACAAATCAACAGTTTCCCTTCCCAGTGCAAGCAAAAGCAGGCAAAAAGGCCAGAGTCCAACAGAGATGAGGTACCTGAATGCTTTATAACCAGCTGTTAAGGAACTTCTCAGGATTAAAGAAAATGCCCAAAGGATCAGTAATAATCAAGTAAAAAAGTACAAGCACCTAAAAAAATATAGGGTGCATATTGCACCTTCGCATGTCATGACCCTCCTGTGTGCTGAAGCGATACAATCTCGGGGAAAGGTAAACAGCACCTTCCTCTGAAGGCTTTGATAAGGGAAGACTGAAATTCTGTGCTCCAGGTGCACAGCTCTGTACCATACCTTGCTGCAGTCAGCTCAGCAGCATCTGCAGGCTCAACATTTCCAAACGGCACAGAATCAGCTAAGGGTTGCTCAGAAGGATCGAGGGGAGAAGCCAACCGTGTATCATCACCTGGCCCAGGAGGGCTGTGGAGAGAAAAGACATGGAAAAAGGTAGATTTAGAGGTCTGAGTTATTGCAGAATTATCTTTATTTGCCTGTCCAAGTCCCCAGACTTTAGCATACAAGTGCTAACTTGTGTTTCACGGAATGCAGAGAAAGTTGGCATTAATATAAGTTGCTTTTGTGCACAGCCCTGCTGTTCCCAAACGACTGAAGTCTCTGGATTTTTGTCTGAGTTACAACTGAAGGAGCAATAAAACAGTCCAAGCTAACAGCAAATTAGCCCCATTTTTATTCTGATTATAAAAAGGAAATGAAAAATTGAGCTGCTGCTAGAACAAGAGAAATGGCAAGACTTCCTCACCCAGAAACCACATAACACACAAGGAGCTCACGGCTGGATTTCACCTGCCATAAGGTTGTGGGGAGCTCATCAGTGGGGACACAGAGTCAGAGGTGACCTGGGTACTGTGTGGAGCATACACAGCCTTGTCCCATTCCATGTACACAAAGGGATAGCACCATACACAGGTGGATTTGAGGTGTATAAACTTAAAACTGTCACTCAGCATTTGGGATTTCAGCCTAAAAATAAAAAGCCCTAAATCACAGAACTCAGCTTTAACTCTAAACAATTACTTCCTTACCTAACTTCAAGGAGAAGATCCAGTATGTTTATCTACTGAAGTTTCATTTTTGAGCAAAGAACAAAACAAAGGGTTAAACTCCACCACCAGTGTTATTCTAGTAATGACTGAAGGTTTCCATCTGAATGTACTCACACTTCTCATATTTTATCTAAAGGATTCTGTAACACGTGGGAAAACCAATTACAACACTGAGCAATTAACTGTCCTCATGTTCTCTGGTTTAACCACTCCTAAGGGCTCAGCCTGCTCTAGGAAACTCTGAGCCAAGGTGTTTCCAAGTTCTAAAGTCCTCTGGTTCCTTTATTAGCATAAAGGAAGCAGTTTTCACTCATTGCCGAGTTGCAGATACAGCACAAACTGGGGTGTCCTCAGTGCTTTGCCTTAAAATGAGTGTTTAGAAAGTAAATTTTGAGAACAGCACTTTGCAAGTTGTTTTTTACATGCATAATGATTAAAATGAGCAGGTGGTGAGTTTTGTCCTGGCTATGACAGAGCACTGAGGGTATTCCCAGTGAACACGTGGGAAGAGCAGCACAAGCCCAGACTGCAATTGAAGCTGGTGTACTGGTGTGCCCCAATGTGGTGAGAAGCCACGTGTTTGCCCACCACCACTCACATCTCCCAGGCAGTGATTTTCATATAGTCTCTGGACAAGGTAACCTGAACCTCAGGCTTGGGGAGGTGATGGTGAAGCTGCTCCTTGCCAAGCCACCCTGCTCTGTGCCACACAAACAATGAAGCTATCCAAAAGCTGCTCAGACGAGTTCCACAACTGACATTCCTGGGCATCACAACCGCCTTGGGCTGGCAGGCGCCTGCCACCAGGGCCCTGCTGTCAGCCCTCTGCAGCCTTTTAGGCCAATTTGTTTCAAGAACTGAGCTCTGTAAAAAAGGCCACGAGCTTTTTCCATTCCATTGCCTGAATTCTGGGTCAAGTCTGGAGGAGGATCTACATGAAATTACTTCCAAATTCTACTTATGACAAGCATGACCGAAATAGTTTTCAAAGGAAAATACCTCAGAGTTTAACAAGCAGTTGCTGCCCAACAGCTGCAGTGAGCACACTAAATACAGCCCAAGGACCAAGGGGTACAGTCTCTTATTAGTGTGTCACAAGTGAAAGACACTGGCCATCAAGTGTCCTTATGCTCTTGAGTTTCACAATTTCATTTTTAAGACCTCTACTTATCCTTGAAAAGAGATTTTCCAAGTCACTGTTGGAAGGCAGGTATGCAAATAACAATTTTCAGGCAAAGCTTGACCCACAAGAGTCATTAAATATTGATGGATGAATGAGAAATGACTTCATCAACCTATGTCATTTCTGCTGTTTAAACACAGCAGGTCTGACCTCTGTCTGTGTGGACAGGTTTCAAACCAAGGCAGAAAATTAAGACACATAGAGGAGCACAACTTTACATGTGTGGACACAGAGGCAGTGAGGGATGGCTGCTCTGGTGGGTCTGTTTGCTGCTCTCCCCCTGACATCCATGAGATGCAAACCCTAAACCTCTAATTTCATAGGAAAGTTATAAAACGCTTTGACATTGGTGCTGGAGACATGAGGCAGCTATGGGTCTTGGCATTTACTCCCTGTCCATGTTTTTCCAATCAGGAGAGCTGGATGTGGCTCCCTTTGAACAGTCAACAATAGCTCCAAGTTTACTCCAAAGGAAACCAATAAGCATTTCAAACTCTGCTATCTCCTAGTCCCAAACATTTGGTTGCTTTTAATGAGATAACAATAAGATTTATGGATCCTGCTCTTACTCCAGAAACCTCTGGAAAATGGCACCAACTACAAGGCAGGACTGAGCTCTCATCATCTGCTATTGCATCTTCCTCAAGGAATGAAATGTTGCTCGCTGGGTACAGCAAGGCTCACAGACAAAATCCTCTTGATTTCATACTTGGCTTTCTAATAACTTGGGCCAAAGAGTCAATTTTTTGAGCCTCACTTTACCCATACATAAGGAAAAATATTAATCAGGCACCGAAAAATACTGAGAGGAGTTGCTATTGCTGTTAAGTTCCTGCACTACAATTCTTTGGAGAGGAAAGAGATCTAGCAGCACATTTATCAGTTCAAACTCATTTATTCAAACACATTAGACCTCGTAAAATTTGTTCCATTTTATTAATTCCTTCATAATGCTAATTTTACCTTCTTATATTTTATTTTATAGCTTATCTCATACATTAGCCACATTCACTGAAATAAACTGGATCTGTAGGAAATCCAACATAACCTGTTATAGTAACTCTATGCACCTTCTTTAAGAAGTATTTTCATGATTATTGGGACTCCTGTCAATATGATTTAGGGAGAAGGAGGTAAGAAGCTATTTCTCAGATTAGAAATCAACACTATTAGTATCAGAAACTAAAACTAAACTTGTTCAGCAAACAGCCCAAAAGTGCTGCACAAGATACAAGCAGAGGATCAAAAACAAACAGAACCCTCTTTCCCCACCCTGTACTACTTCTTATGAGGTAATTTAAAATCCATTTAAATACCAACAGAATTTTAGGGAAAATATCAGATGCTAAGATTGAAATGGAAAGTCTGACTTGATTTCCCAGTGAACTAAGGAGACATCCATACAACCAAATGATGTCCCACAGGACAAGTCCATATGCCAGCAACAGCTTTAAAAGCACAGACACAGGGATGACTGGGGGTCACTTTTGCTGGTCAATATGCATAGATATAGCCAAGGTTTTACTTTTACCAGCTAAACACACACTCTATGTCAAAAGCTCAGGTTTGGGGAAATACGCTGCCTTTTGTAAACCCAACAAAAGACTCACTTATGCATTTCAATATGTGATTTTGGAAAAATCTCTCAAATTCCTTCTGTACTCTGAAGAAGAAACTATGCCTTAAGTGCCTCACACCAGCACTTTGCATTTAGACTGCAGGACCTCCTGCATGCCTCGGCCAGGCTGAGTCCTGCTGAGCTGGGTGCTGTGCAAACACAGTAATAAAGGTATCCCAGAGATGAACTGGCACGTACTAATTAAAACCAAATCAAATCACTGTCATACAGGGGACACATGGGTTTGATGCCTAGCGCATGATGGCAATTCTCCACTTCTGGAAAAAAAAAAAGGCATTGTGACTAAGATACCAGAACTAGCTCCTGGGGGAATTATTGCAGTGCCTGAGATTTCCATGCTGTTCCTCTGAGTGGGACTGGAGCACTGAGCAGAACAGGTCCAGGGAGAGACAGCCCAGCCCAGAGTCACACCTGACATCCTCCTGGCCAAGAAGCAGGACCAGCTGCATCTCCCAAAGGCTGAGAGTTGTCTGCAGTCCCTGTGGAAACACACGGCTGTGCTCCCATCAGCAAGGCAGTCCCTTCCCTGCCTGCAGATTTCCATGCTAGTAACGCAAGAAAGGAAAACAAGCGCAGAAACTGCATTCTGGAGACGTGAAAGCATCTTTTTGAAGGACCCCCCCTATGGAAAGCAGCCCCAGAAAACCAGCTGCAGAACAGCGGCAATCCCTGCAGGTAACTCCAAGGACCTGCCAGGGTGGGAGCAGAGCATTGCTGCTGTCAGACATCCACTCGAGGGATGGAGAGTCACTCTCCGAAGTGACACCGTTCTGGCAGTGCTTGTGGAAACCCTGACAAGACAGAGGAGTTATCTCGGCAGGGCAGGGTGTTAGTCACACATTACCTGAGGGCCTGCACTTCCCCTCTCACCCAACCTTTCCTGCTTACAAATCCCTTAATTTCTGTAATGTGTCTACCCAGATTGATCATCGATTTGATTCATCATTGCTTTGTCATAACCAAAAACTAGAAAAGTATAGTTGTGTTTTGTTGGGGGTTTTTTTGGTCTGAGTATTCCACATGACTGTGGTCACATTAAAACCAAAGGTGAGTTATTAAACACCATTATTTTAGATTAAAACACTGAAGGGGACTGAAACACACGTTACAGTACTACTCCCTTCGCGAGCTAAGAGAGAGACAGCAGAAAGCCACATAAAAGTGTCAGAAGTATAAATCATGCCTGCACAGGATGAATAAGCATATTTGCTGTAGGAACTGTCAACCATTCTAAAAAGCCTATCACGTCACCACGGAGCAGCTTTTAGAGCCTCGGAAGGGCTTTCGGTCATGCCCTGATGTCACTGCTGCAGAATTCCAAAGTTTCCAAATTCCGACGAGTAAACCTGAAGCAGAAGTTTCTCAGTGCAAACAACACACACACAGAAAGTCTCCTCCCTCCAGCAGAAACCCCAAACCCAACCAGAAATCCATGGCAAGAGCCACAGAACCATCCAGGTTTTTTGGGAGGTAAGGAGAGTTAATCCTCACCCAGTGCTGGAAGCACCGTGGGAACCGGAGAAAAAGTTTCCAA